CACAACGAAGGGTATCATACCCTAATAGGTTGACCTTACTTCACAACGAATGAGTCATCTGTAACACATCAACACCAAAGTCTTCAGGTCAAGTTCCACCTTCACGACGAAGTATCTTGAGCCAGAAGACGATCCAGGAGTCACTTGCCAAAAGCTTTGAGTTTGATTTCAACTTCACAACGAAGGATATCGTACTCAGAAGTTTCCAGTTCAACTCGACCTCACGACGAGGGAGTCATTTTGTGATTCAATTTAAATTAACAGATCAGTCATTGCATCGGATTTCAACTCTACGGCAGAAGACGTTCGATATGGACAAAATTTGTGTCTTTTTATCTTTGTCCTATTTTCGTTCCACGAAAAGGACAAAGAGGGGCAGCTGTAGACACTAATTTTTTGCCCAACAATACTATCCTCGTATTTCTCGGTAACAAGAATAACAACCAAGTCAAAATACTAAATCAAGGCATTTGAGTCCAAGTGGGACTCTAAAACTGAATAAAGGAGCGTTTCAGTTTGAATAGGACTCTACAATCTATCTAAAAATAGCCAGTTTCATGGCTATAAATTGAGGCAAAAATAAGGGGGGGAAGAAACAGTAGAAAGCACGAATCTTTGAGAAAAGGAACCTGCGAAAAGAGAAGAGAAAGAGCTCCTTGAACAAGAGAAGTAAAACGCCAAAACATAAAGACGCAAGCAAACCTTCAAATCTTGGGTGAACGAACGTTCAACGGCGAATTTTCAGACTTAAAGAAGGGATCATTTCAAGTTTCAGTACACTCACCGAAGCTTAAGAAGGGTATCTGATCAATCTATTTCTTTGATGATTGGCATTTTCTTTTTCTTTGGCATAATTGTTTACTTGGAAAAGTTTTTATTCTTTCTCGTGAATTATATTTAAATTTCAACTTGAAACTGGTTGTTGATGTTGAGTTGTAATTTACATTGTTATAAGATTTTTGTGTGAGTGTTTTTTTAGATCTTTTATCCAATGAAAAAGTTTAATCTATTTTTTTAGTGGATATTAATTTGTTTATCTGAACTGAGTCATGTCTCGTTCCTCGCATATGACTTCCTTTAAAGATCAAAAGCGCTCGTATAGAATATATTTCATGGTTGTACATTTACCTCTAACGACAAGAATACTATTAAATCTAATCTTTTGTCCTTCATGTATGTAGTACTGGCTATGCCTTGATTATCCAAAACTATGGTCTCAGACTCAGTAAGACTACTAACAGTTTAGTTCTTTTGTAGTTTCTATTTGCGTCCTTGTTCTTTCCTCTCTTGACATTGGCATTTTTTGTTAGATCACATCTCATCTCTGGGGTATTTCTAGATCTTTACTTTCCAATCCACTTAAATGTGTTCTTCTGTTTGTATTCAATCTCCGCAAACTTCCATCTTCTCTTTTGTACTCACATGTTTAACTCTTATCTTTGTTTTTCCAAGAATCTATTGTAGCATTTTTAACTTTATGTTTAACTTTATCCTGTGTTATTTTGTCAGTCTTATTTTACATTTAACAAAAATTTTCCTTAGGTTTGAGCACTAGTGTAACATCCTCCATGTCGGGTTAGTGATTAATTTGCAAAGTTTCAACATTTGGTGATTAAAGTAGAATAATTATATAGTTTAAAAAGTATGGTTAGTAAATATGAGATGGAGATAAGGACCAAATGGTCATTTGTAAGGAAATTTTAATTAAAATAAAATGTTATGGGGTTATATGAGAACCCACGTGTGACATTAGGTTCCAGAACCCTCCCATTTCTTCTTCCTTCTTCCTTATTTTCTTCTCTTCCTTCTCTCAACGTGGAGCTTGCAAGTAAAGGTAAGAATCTGAACCTTAGTAATTTCTTTGATTTTTAAGATTGGAAATGAAAGCTTGGATGTTATATAAGCTAAAGAAAAGCTTATATATGACATTAAAACAACAAGATAAGTGTTTTAGAGAATGATTTGGAAAATGAATTTTTAGATGAAATTTTGATAGGAATGAGTTTTTGAAGTTTGAATAAGATTTTTGACTTGTCAAGAAGCTAACTAAGAAGTATGAGGTGTTAGAATTCAAATTAGAACATATTGGAATTTGGGTTGGATTTTTAAATTCTAAATGGAGAATTAGATTTCTAGGTTTTAGAGGTATTTAATGGATAATAATTAGTTTAAGTAAGTGTATGAGAGCTAAGAGTATTAAAGGGATTGAAATATGTATGTTTGAGTTGAAATGAGATGATTTCCGGGCTCAAAATAGAATTTCTGGGTTAGGGGAATCGGTACCCATTCAAGGGGAACCGATACCCCCTCAACGAAATGAATTTCCAGAATGCTAGAGGGGAATCGGTACCCCCAAGGGGGAACCGATACCCCTCATCGTATATGAAATTCCATAATGCTTGAGGGGAATCGATACCCCAGGGGGGAACCGATTCCCCCATGAGAAAAAAAAAGAAGAAAGAAAAGAAAGAAAGACTAAGCTATAAATTTCTTAAATTAGTAAGCTATTAAAGCTTAATTTCAAGACATAGACATCTGATGATCATCTTAAAAATTATGTTTATGTAGATACCGAGCCTACTCGAGTTCGGGAACAATCTACAAGTAGGATCGATCGAGGAAAAGGCAAAGAAGTATAGGTGAGTGCATATGCATAGCATGAATATAGTATTATATTCAGTTCTAGACTTGTGATAAGTCTAGATTCCATATTTTACATATGATCACATTCCATATTATGATACATGACATGAATTTATATTAAATGTATTACATGACATGAATTCATATTATATGTATTGCATGACATGAATATGCAGAAAAAGTTATATGAGCTATGTGATAAGGTATGTAAATGATATGCCTATGTGATAAAGGTATGGAAATAATATGACTACGCGATATGAACTACGGGAAATGTATAAGCCCATGTTATGTAGATGAGAACTATAGGTATAGTTGGCATGCCAAGGGTAGAGGGTCTACGCGGTTCTTTAGGACATATGTATATCCTTTGGAACCTGTGTGAAGTCTTGAAAGACACATACTTGATCCATAGTATATGTATATGATTCTTAAGGAATTCTATGTGGTCCTTATGGACATCATTATATGGCACTACGGTGCAATTCTAAGCGGTTCTTTAGGACATATGTATATCCTTTGGAACCTGTGTGAAGTCTTGAAAGACACATACTTGATCCATAGTATATGTATATGATTCTTAAGGAATTCTATGTGGTCCTTATGGACATTATTATATGGCACTACGGTGCAATTCTACGGGGCACTTCGGTGCATTTATACGAGCTGTGGTGACAGCATAGTGCACAACCTCACATTACTCCAATACCTTAGGTTCTCACTATGCTATCATGGGCCAATAAACTTATTAAATACAGATTCATGAATGTTACAGTCATACACTTACAGGTATGGATATTGATGAAGTATACTACATTGATTAAGTACATGTTTGCATCTCATCTCATATGATCCTGACATTTTCATTACATTACATTGCCTTGTTATTATTATTGCCTCACTAAGTCGATGACTTAGCGTGTGAGTGTTTCACACGTAGGATCCGAGGAATTAGACGAGACAGGTGAAGCAGCTTGACAGTATTACTCCTGCAACCATCAGATCAGAAGCAACTTAATCAGTAGGTCATTTTGTTATGTAAATAGCAGTTGGCATGTAATTAAAGGGTTAAGTTGTGTATGCTCTGAATATTTTGGTAAAACTTATTACAGTATGAATATATGGTATTTTCTTAATATAAGATCAAATATTTTACTATGATTTATTAAGAGTTGTGTTTTAAAGTCAATGTAATATCTCTGACTCATATCCGGGCCGGGTATGGGTTGGGGGTGTTACAACTAGACTTCCAGTGTGTCTGTTAATATTTTATTTCTCTTCATGTGCATTTGGAAATCAAGATGTATGCGCCTGCTTGTGCAGTCATCTAGAATGATCGACCAGTGTTTTTTAAAATTTATTTATTAATGGATAATTGAATTTAAGTTAGATAATTAGTGTCACTAAACTCACATTATTTATTAATTGGTTTTAATTGGCCTTAATTTTAACACCTAGATACTCTCATTCATTATCCTTATTTATAATTGGGCCTTAGGAAATAATTTGATGATTCAATAATTATATCTCTTTTGGCCTTAATTAAGAATTTGAATAATAATTTTTGATGCATGTTGTTGAAATTGGGTATGTTTGAATCAAATATTTTTGACTTTTTCAGTAATAATTTCCATCGATCGAAGGTAAGTAATTTGAATCGGGTTTTTAAATTTCAATTTAAATTTTTAATTTTCGCAATTAAAGACAACCAAAAAAATTAATTGGTACCGAAAGGGCGGTCCAAGGGTGCTAATCTTTCCTTGACCGTAACCGACTCCCGAACTCGACACATTTCTGGTAACTCGCAGATCATGTAAGATGGTGTCCGACCCACCTAAATTCGTTTTAAAATGGTCGGTGGCGACTCCAATCCATTTTCCTAAGTCAAAGCCCAATTCCAGGGCCCGACCGGAAAGACGGTTGCGACACATAGGACAAGTGTCGAGTTGTCCAAGTCTGAAACCTAGCCTCAATCTTGTCCCGAGAGGCTTGCAATCCTTGATAGTGAGTCTCCTCGTAACTAAAGGAATGCCCAAGTAGCGAACAGTCTACCTCCCAAGCTTTATACGAACATCCTCCTTGATTAACCTCAATTCATTCCTCGAGATTTCTAAAAATAAAATCTCACTTTTCTCATCATTAAAGTTCAACCCGAGTGTTGTTAACACCTCTTTGAGAAAACTAAAAGGTCGTCCGTAAAACAGAGGTGAGTAAGATCAACCCTTGCACATTTAGGGTGATATTTAAGATTATATATACTATAACATATTTCAGAATTGAAGTATTTAATTGAATTAAAAAATATAAACTGAAATCCGATATTGAACATTTCTTCGGTGTCAAAGGGTGGTGAAATTTAAGATGTAATATATATATATACACATTCAAGCCTTGATTGTCACACTGCATAGGCATAAACCCGAAGGCTTTATATTCGAAGTCCGCCATTCTGAACCCGGTGTTGCATTCGGATCATACACCAGTGTTTGATCACCCTCCGCTGTGAAAAGCAGAAGCTTCCCACCCTCGTTCCCCAATCGGAACCCTACACTCGTGCTCCCCGTCGATGGAACCCAAACCCTCTTCCATGAACCGTTATCCGGGTCGAATATCGCCACCTTCCGCTGGTTCTCCCACTCTATGCAGAACAGCTTCTTCTCCACCACCGCATGTGTGGTGACCATGACACAACCGCCGTTCTTCATCTCGCACCAGCGGCCCCTCATAGGGTCGTAAACATCGACGAACCTCGAATTTCCGATTGTGAAGCTCGACCTTCCACCAAAGACGTAAAGTTTCCCGTTCAATCCGCATGCAAAGCAGCCCCACCGTGGCCGACGGAGGCTCTCGATAACGGTCCATTTACCTGTCTCAGGGTCGTACACCTCCACGGTGGAGAGACTTTTACCTTCGATTCCGTACCCTCCGACGACATAAACCATGCCGTTCACCTCCGCGCAGGCGAAATCGGCACGAGCAACGTTTAAGTCTGCTAACTTACTCCATCTGTAATTTAACATTGACTTAAAATTCTGATCGAACATAGAATAATTTATAATTAGGGTTTATAAACAAACCTGTTGAGGAAAGGATCATATCGGTAAACATCCGGGGAAGGGGAAGCAGAAGCAACACCATTTATGACCGAGTAGCCTGCAATGCAGAGAAGCTTTCCGTTAATGAAAGTTACCCCAAACCCCATTTTTGCAGGCCCAGGCATGGGCGGCACAAGCTGACGTTCATGTCCCAAACGATCAAAAACCTCCCACCGCCGATCCTTTCCATCGGAATCCACAATCAAAACATAAAGCCACTCTTCAAGCACCCCTGCCAACGTTCGTTCCCGTAAGAATTCCTTGGTTTGAATGAACGATCTCCACGTCTTGCAAACGCCGCCCATGGCGGGGAAGCTAAAACGGGGAACCAGAGCAAGGCAGTACTTGGCTACATCATCCGGAAGACCGGGAAGCAATGGGATGCCTTCAAATTTATCACCGTCATCCAGGGAAGTAAGACAGTCATTAGAGCCTTTGGTCCTCTTGTTTCCTCCCTCAAAACCAGTCATTTTTCTAAGATTTTATTTGCAGACAAAACAAAAATACAGACAACTGTTCCGTTCGAATATGTAAGAGGATGTGATTTGTGTTATAAGCAGATGAAGAGAGAGGAATGGGAGCAAATTAATAAAATAGCAAGTGAAGATAGAAGAGACAGCATGTCGACGTCAGTAATGTTTTGGATGAGATGGGTACTTGCTGACTCGTACATGATAAGCTGACTTCAAATAACTTCCTCATTTAATAACGATGACTTTCTTATTGGATAACGACGACAAAACACACCTATGTGGATTCTCTTTGGTTCCTAAATTTAATTAGATCTATGATAAATCGAGTCAAATAAGAAATCAAATAAAAATTAATATCTATTCAATCTATTTTTGAATCGGATCAATATTAAATCGATTGATTTTTAATTTAAGTTAAAATTTGATCGGCCAAATTTTAATTCAAATCAATCTTTATATCCTCGAATAAATTTAAATTGACTTGATTATAAGTCTAATAGAATTAAAAAATAATAATAATACAAAATGTGATAATTAACTAATAATATAGTAATATGAAATCATTATCAAATATGATAGTTAATTAACTACTAGTATAATACAAAAACAGAATATAATATACATCATTTCACTATTTATCAATTTTTTTAAAAATAAATAATTAAATTAGATTATTTATTCGCTTAGATTCAATTATCGAATTACAATAAATTAATATTCGATTGTTCACATTTTTTTTATTGAAATTCGAATCTAAAAATTGAGTTAAAATCAAGTTTGTCAACTATATTAAACTTTATTTCAAAGATAAGTTCACTGCAATTTTTCTTTCTATAATAACATCAAATTTTTTGTTATTATCCTTTCATTTCTCTAGTCCAATAATCCTAAAAAGATGTAAGACTATTAATTTTACACCGGAAGTAATGATCCTAAAAAGATGTAAGACTATTAATTTTGAGTAAACGGATCTTAACCCTATATATATATATATATATATATATATACATATATATTCTTTAGACAAAAATAAGATAAGGTTTTGGGGGTTCGAATACCAAGTATGACTTGACTCTTTCAATTCCGGAACCCTCAAAAAAAGAGAAACCACGATGAAGTTTCAAAGAAAATTGCAATACACTAAATAGTATTGCTTTCCAGTAAACCAACCATCAATCGAACGTTAAGTCCTTAATTTAAAGTCAAGATTTCAGATCATGATGTGAATAAAATAAGCCGAATTGAAAGAATTGACCCCATAAAAAGCATCTATAACACCCTGTTATTGTATCCTCCAAGAAGAATACTCTTCCATTAATTGTTTCATAGTCCAAAAAATTCAGGGAAATCAAGTAGATTATTGTACCCTTCAAAACACATAAAAGAAGAAAACATCGGTTCAGTCCTCTAAGCAAACACGACCTTACTTCTTGGTGCCTTTCTTTTTCAAACTCACAGCCACCTGTGGCTTGGGATGCTTCTCAGCTTCAATGGGATCCAACCATTTGAGTGGGTGGCGATTGAAGAAATGCCAATTCGGAACCGTAATCAATGTGGTGAGAGTCACGCCACCCGCATATACGATCATCATCATTTGAAACGATCCCAGCACATACCCTGCGGCGAATGCAATCACCGCCGACAACAACAGCATTATCTGCATTATCTGCTCTGCCAACTTTTGTCCTTGCCAATCCATCTACATTACAATTCAACAACATAAGCCAAACTCTAGGAAACCACAAAAACAATCACTAAAAGAGACCTTAGTGGTAAAGGGGATTATTATTCTTACTAGAAGTCCCAGTTCAAGCAGCTATGTCTACATATTGTGTGTGCATTGTCGATGATTATGAAAAATTCTAAACAAATACTACCCTATAATCCCCATTCCGTTCAAACTAAAAGAAAAAACATAATGACCAGCCCTCAGTAAAACTTCTATTGATTTAGCCTTTTTAGCTTTGCCAATGGAGAAATATGGCATAAATCTTTGCTTCTTTTATTTCCAATTCTGCTACTACATCAGCCATCTATATCTATTATATGCAAAATTTTCTGTACATATGAATCCGATCCCCAAACCGGTTCCTCTAAGTTCCATTTTTGGTAAATCCTAGAGAACATTCACTGTGATTTGGGATCAAAGATCGATAACCCAAAACCCTAGAAGATGTTTGGTTAGAGAGAAATCATAAAGGAATAAAATTTGTTCTCGCAATCAGAAGATAGGAAATCAAGAACTAAAAAATTGATGGCCAAAATATTAAGGTTATAATTGGTTTCTTTATTTTCGCCGTAATTTTAAATTTCGATCAACAAGCAAAAACATAATCAAATCAGAAAATTTAAAGAGGAGGGGGGAAAGCGTGAATCAATTAGAAAGTATAAACCCTAGAACTTCAATTTTACCATCGAATGAAAGAGCAAAAAGAGTGAAAACTTGCCGCAAGTTAATTGATGAAGCGAAGAGAGCGAGAAGATGCCTGAAAGCGAAAGTCGGTAACGAAGAAGAAAGAACAGTAAGTGAAAATTGAAAATACAGATTTTTTATATATTAGGAACAGACGATAATTCGTGGCCCCACGATCAAAAGCAACAATGGATGTGATAGCCGTTGGATGAAATTATGAATAACGTAATTGCATCTTAAATTAATTAATTTGGTGATATAAAAATCTTAAATTAATTAAATATAGCTGTTTAAGATAAAAGATTTGGTAACTTCTTCCCATTTAGTCCATAATGTTGAAGATTTACAATTTCGATGAAATTAAATTTTAGGGTAAATTATGCATTTAGTTTCTAAACTATTAGTTTAAATCTGTTTTAGAATCTAAACTTTTAATATTTTTTAAAATCACATCTAACATTTAGTTTTTTTTATTTTAATACACACCGTTAAAAATCTGACGCGTTTAGTACCTAAAGTATCAATTTTATTCCGTTTTAATACCTAAACTTTCAATTTTTTTCTAAAATTAACGTTAAATTTTGAACAGAGATATGAAATAAAAAAAACTTTATATATAATTTTGAAAAAATTAAAAAATTAAGTACTAAAATGAAACCGAAACTGATAATTTATATACTAAACACGTAGTTTACCCTAAACTTTAAGTGTATCAAAATATTATTATAAATAAATAAATATTTTATAATTCTCAATTGAGTGTGTGATTTAACCTTATCAAAAAAACAAATTCTGAAGTAAATTCAGAAAAATTAAATATCAAAGTTATAGATAATTTATGAATTTATATTAGCTTTATCCTAAATTTATTGAACCAAATTTATCAAGCATCCTTTTTGTTAAATTTCAAGTTTATTAAGGAGCATTATTTTTCTTGCAGTTACATCTTACACAAGTTTACACAATTGTATCTATTATAATGTCAATATATTATATATATGGAATAGTTAAAAAATAATAAGAGATACACAGAGCATTAAAAAGGAAAAAACATAGCTTCATGTTTCTTGAGAAATGGTAAATTATTCAAATGATCAACACTACAATGGAAAAATCATTTCTTTTGAATTTAATTAGTATTTCATGTGCAATAAGACAAAGGGTAAGCCATAGATTAATCATTCAAAAGATAACACAAAGATATCCAATAAATCTGAGATAACATTAAGACTAAATATGGTTTTAAAATAAGCAAAACCATCCAAATCACATATAGATAAGCAAGATGTATCAAACCAACTCTCCTTCACTCGGTAAAATATGGCAACTTTTGGATTCAAGAGGAAGCACCACTGGACTTCTTGGACTTGCTTACTGCCAATTGAGCTTCGGGCTGAAAGGAAACAAAGATTTTATCAATTTAATTACAAAAGAAACGTGGAGTTTACATTCTTCAAAGAAATTTAAACTTAATCTACGTTATTTGGACTACAGTGTGAATGTCGGATATTATATCCGACGTCAAGACAAGTACTTCAAAGAGAACGAAAGAATTAAGGGGGATTAATTAAACCACCTCTTTCTTGACAGGATCTTCCTTCTCAGACAAAATCAACTCAATGTGGCATGGAGAAGACATGTAAGCTGGCAAAAAGAATGATACCATTAACATAGGTATATAAGAAAACAAAATAGATTCAAGGTAACAATTAAGTTCATGATTGGGATGCATACGGTTGATTCTTCCATGAGCACGGTAGGTTCGACGTCTCTGTTACTGAGCCTGGTTTACCTGGATATGAGAAATATAGAGTGCATCGACATCCAAACCCTTAACCTGAGAAATTAGTTTAATATTGTTAGAAAATGGAAGTGTGAAACAAAGCTGTTAAAAACTGAATCCACAGAATAAGAATACCTCAGCATTGCTCTCGGCATTCTTCAGCAAATCCAGGATGAACTTGGCAGATTTTACAGGCCAACGACCTTGTCCATTGGAATGCCTGTTCTTTGCCTGAGCTGTACGTCCAACACCACGACAAAAGCGTCGGAAGGGTATGGCCTGCTTGTGCACCAAAACATCCTCCAAATACCTCTTGGCCTTAACCAAAGGCAGCTTTCTTATGGCAAAAGCAGTCTCCCTAGTGTTCTAGGGAACAATAACACCAAAAACGACTCATTAGATACCACAAGCTAGCAAGAATAGCACACGATGGGGAAATATCATGAAACCGGTACCATAAGAACTCATTCCAGTGTCATAACAAAACAAGTTACTTCGAAACAATTGGAAGATGTGACCATTTACTGAACCTTCAAACATTTCATTCACCAAGAAAGTCTAGAGGTCCACCCAATAACAATGAAAGAAAATTTGCCTGAATTTTAAAAGAACCTCATTCACAAAAGGCAACAAGAACCTTTCTTTTACGTCAGGTTTAAAACACAAATAACGAGACAAAAAAAGGGTATAGCCATAAACGACATCAATTCAAAGTTATCCCTGAATTAAAAAAAATGATCATTTTACAAAAATTAAGAGAGAAGTTACAAAGCAGCATTCAATTATTAATCATGACAACAGTAACTGTACAGGTACTTCCAAGAAAGCTACAGTTCAAAGCTAATATACATTTATCAGTGTCGCACGATGATCTACTGGATCTCATAAACACTCAAATCAACACCCAGAAGTTCACATCAAGAAGCAAATAAAATTATATTAAATTATGATGTAATACCTTAAAATGAACCCTAAGATCTGACCCCCTTGCCTTGCAGGCTGCATGAAACCAACAATAAACATCACTGGTTGTTAAACCAAAATACTGCGATTCAAAATTTAAAGGAAAAATCTCGAGAATGAAGTAAAGAGTGGGCTCTTACACTTGGTTGGGTTTTCAGGCTCCTTCGAATACTTCACCTAAAAAACGATTCAAAATAAAATCGAGTTCAATGTTATAAATATCATTAAAAAAACCAATAAAATAGACTTTAGAACATTAATTGTATAGGCGAATGAAGCAAAAGTAATACCATGGCAGCTGTTTGGTTGTTGCGCCCGCTGTCTAAGGTGTTGTTTTGATGTCCGCCCAGCGGATGAAGTAAAAGAGCGGCCAAAGGAGCTGAACTATCTAGCACTTTATTTAGGATTCCTGCCTTCTAGGGTTTTAAAGTGGCCTGGTTTTAATAATTTAGGGTTTGGGTTTGGGTATATTATAGGAAAGTGAATAGAAAAGAAAGGATCCAACCCAAACTCTTTGGTTTTAGGCCCAGTGCCTTAAGTTCTGCGTTGAGCATGAAACATTACGTAGCAATCCATTGGGAAAACTAACTAATAGGTATCTCTATTATACGAACTCATAATAACTAATTTAATAATATTGTACTAGAAAACAAATGTAAAAGAAAATAAAACTAAAGTCCCAATTACCAAATATTGAAATTTTCAACCAAATTTTGCTCTAGAATGCAATAAAATAAAATAAAAACCTCCAATTTCGAATCTCAAAATTAAATTGAGATTTAGTATCGGACGGTTTAAACTTACATATAACCTACGGACTAATTAAGGGGAAGAAAACTCTGTCGTTTCAACTTTCAACCTCCACCAATAATTGTTTCTTGTTCTTCATTTTTACGGTATTGACACGATAAATTCCGCTTTTAACTTCCGGTAATGACGTCATCATTTCCGTCGTTAGCTCCGTTACCGTCGTCACCGTCAGCTTCTTCAACGAGCCACCGTTCAACCGGCGCGCACTCCGCTTTGTGGCGGAGCTTCCAATCAACAGCCTGGCAAGCGCGCGAGCAATAATTCACAACCCCGCAAACCGAACACCGTCGAAACTCGTGCTTCCTTGTCTCCGGCCTCCCACAACCGACGTACGAGCATAGCCTCAAACCCGCACCGGGCGTCCAGCCCCGAGCGCCGAACCACTCCGTTAAGAATATGTTAACCGTATGTGCCTTCGGCACCGGCACATTGCATCCGAAATCACTCAGCAACGGGCATCCCGGCGCTGCCGGGTGTCGTGGGCTGGCATGCGGGATTGGGTGCGGGCTCCACGTCAGCCAAGAGTGCGTGTTAATGTTGGAAGCGGCCGCCGACGATACAACTGCCGCTAGCTCACGGGAGTTGGCTTGGACGAGAAACCGACGTCCCTCGACGATGTTTTGCCGGACTCCATACCCATCCTGCAGACAGTGGCCGAGCTCACGTAGGGCGTCGATGTGGCCGAGAAAAGCTGCCCGGGCGCTCAAAGCCACTCCGGCTCTAAGGTCCTTATCGTTTTTAGTGCCGCCGCTGCCGTTAAACTGAATCACAGCTAAGGAGTAAAGCGCCGGCGCGTGGGAACTAATCGCCGCCTTAGCCATAAGAGAGGCTCCACTCCCTCGATTTTGTAAACAGTAGAATCGAATCTGATAGCAAATCATTAAAACATATAACTCGTTGTAGAGCTAAACTTAATTAGCAATTAATAGTATTCCGAGAGTCCGAGTCAACTCACCATTCCGAGAGTGTAACAAGCTTCAACATTTCCGGCATCGGCGCAAGTCTTCAAGAACCGGTGAGCTGGCTCAGACCAGTTTCTGGCTTTAACAGCAAACATTTCCGCTGATGCCTTCGATAACACCACAGAATTGACTGCTAGACTATTAAATCTCTTGCATCTGTTTTCACCAAATAAAAAAAAATAAGAAACACCAAAGAAAAAAATATTAAGAGAATCGAAAAGGCCATGAACGTCTACGTACGTATTCAAAACGTTGATGAAATCGGAAGGGCAACGGGCGGTGGAGCTGAGTTTAGAGAATATAGAAACGACGATATCATCGGGTAAAACATCGAACAAATCACTCTTTCCGGCAATCTCCGGGGATAACCTCTGCCGTTTCCGGCAACCCATAGAATCACCGGCAAAATCCCGGGTTTTAGCAACTGGTTTCTTTTCCACATAAACATCGGCTCTAGGGTAACAAACCCCACTCCTCGTCGTCATTTCACTCTCTAATTTCTATCCCTTTGTCTGGAATCTCAGTGGCTCAAAAACTTAATAGATAAACGGAAAATGGAAAAAATATAAAACTGAGACCCTTGTATCTAT